ATCACTGATGTGGGTTTTTTTGTCTTTTGTCTGAGAATTTTATTGGCTCCATATCTGTGTTTCCTGAATTACATCCTGCATTAGGTGGGTGCAAATTTTTGCTTTGAGAATTCCGTTTTAACCCTTTACCCTCCTCTGCTTTAATCAACAGGAGCAGAACCCAGTTCTGGGATTGAAGTTCTCTGTGTTTCACCACGGGTTTTTCAGCTCCACATCTTCACTGGGAGCAATGCCAAGTCTGAACATCCAGGAAGAACTTGTAAGAGAGGGAGCTGAGCAGTCTGCAGCAACATCAAGCAGGCAGCAAGACTCAGCAGAGCAATAAACAGATTAAAAGAAAGAATCTTGCATGACTGAGCCCTTGTGCTGAACACACAGTGTGGGATGCTGTGATCTAATGGTGTCTAGACAGCAATATCCTCCATAACTTTCTTTCCTCTCTAACACAAATACAGCCAGAAATTTCCCAAAAGAAAATACATAAAGAGAATTTCAGGTTGCAGGTTTATAGCCTCACTAGTCAAAGAATATCCAGGTGACTTTTGCACAAAATCCCCACCCTGTTCTTACAATAGATATTTATCTGTCCACCTAGTTCCCCTTTTTTGCTTGTTCCAGGGCTAAAGTATTAGAAACAAAATCTTTGTAAGAGATTGTGCAAGGTTGTGCATTCGCAATATGGTGCATTTATGTGTCAGTAAATTATGTTGTAATGTATAATCAACGAGAATGTTCTTGTTCATCATTATTTAGCATAATTAAACAAAGATGTTGAGTGATTATGAAGTATGCATAATGGGCAGAAATACATTTTATGAACAAATAGGTGTGGAATAACATCTCTTTTGGTTCTGAGCAGTCAAATAAGGACATGTCTTACACAGTTCTGCTTCATGGGTTTGGTATAACAAACTCTTGAGCTGCAAGGATCAAAGTTTGGGGTAATTGGGATAAGCAGATGTCTCCTTAAGATGTTCAGGGAGTCAAATTCTCTTGGAATATTTTTCTTCAGTTTCATAACAGAAATAAAGATGCTGTGAAGTTTGTGGCTTTTTGAAGCAGCTCCAGTTAAGACAGAGGTGGTACAGCCTTCAAAAAAGTTTCTTTTTTGTGAACCTCAGGAAAGCAACACTGCATCAGTTTGTTTGTGTATTTAACTCCCTGATTTTGCCAGACACATTTTGCTGCTGTTGGCTCTCTGGGATCCCATCCAATGCTTTTTCAGAGTTTAGACCATGATCAAATAGGAGCAGTGTGACATAACAGAAAGTTTTCTTGTATTTTAGAATACATGTGTGTTTTCTTGCTGCAAACAAGGAAGCTGACAGATGACAAATTCTGGATGGCATTTGAACTAAACTTCCAGTAGACTGGCAGGGCCTTTATGTTTATTTTTGGTGGAATGACCTTTCCATGTGTAAAGGCTCTAGATGCTTTCTGATTAAGTTATACTTCCACATGAGAAACTTTCAGCTCAGAGGAATTAGGTGAAATTTTAAGAAAAAGAGTGTTCCCCTGAAACATAAAGCTGTAATGAAATTTGCTTTTTCTTTCTTTTCTTTTTTTTTTTTTTTTTTTTTTTTTTTAGTTGCTGTCAGTTATTATAACCAGATTGTTGGAAGAGTTGATGGGCTTATGAACCATGAAAAAAGAGAAATTACTCTTCTGGTTTTGACCTACAGGTAAGATTTCTTCTTCTTGGTAAAAGGTAACTGATATCAAAATAAAAGAGTATTTTGATGCAGAAAACTGATCCTTTTTCATGTTTTCTCATTTTTAGAAGTTCTAGTTATTTGACTATTTCTTTTCTGTTTACTTATGAATTATTACTTAATTAGTTTACTTTGCTCAGCTCCCATCCTGACCTAGGTCTGGTTTCCTGCCTGTTTGCTGTGGGGGAAGAGTTTTGACTGTGTCTATACTGCAAAATTCAAAGAGCTCAGACTGTTAGCCCTGTCTTCCTGTTAAATGTCAACCTTCCAGCTAAGCCAGGTAAAACTAAGTACATTCCATTTAGATGAAGAATTTTTGGGGAGAACAAACATATAAAATAAATAACAAAATCAAGTGGAAAGTGTGTTTTCAGGACATGGTTTAAATTCAGCCTGGTTATATTCCATAATTCTATGCTACTTCCCAGTTAGCTCACAGGAATCTGACCAGTCTGACCAGGGACTGGGTAGCAGTTGTGAGGAGACCTCCAAATTTTGCCCAAAGTATTTCTGTTACACATCTGAAAGCATCCATATTTGAAGAGTTATTTTAAGTCTCACCACACCTGCTGTTCTTCAGAAGGATAATTTGATCTGTAAAGAAAGAAAAAAATCAAAGTAATTAGATTTAAAAGAGGCTGGATATCAAGACTAACCTTCTTGCTATTGAAATAAAGATGATGAAGAGCAAGAAAAGATTGTATTTAAGTCTAGTTTCCTTCTGCCTGCTTCCCATCAGAGCTCTGCCCTCACTGTCCCACATCTTACAGCATCTCTGCTGCTCTGGGTCGTGCTGGCTGAGAGCAGCTCCTCAAAGATGCTCTCCCAGATTCCTCTCCTCCTGCTCCAAACCTCCTCCTCTTTCCTGGAAAAGCAGGAGTGCCAGAGGCAGCACTGGCTTCTGCCTCCCAGGGCATCCCTGCTCCTAATTCCACATTGCCCTCCTAGGGCAGCTTGTGCTGTCTCCCAGGTGGGCCTACAGTATCCTGAGGTAATGATTAAGAACTCAAATTTTTCTTGTGTCTTGATTTTCTTCATAAATCTGTAAAAGGTCGGTTCTGTGGGGAAAAAAAGTTAAAAGTGCTCTGATTTTAGAGCTGAGGTAGAGACCTGTCAGCAAACCATCTCTGCAAGATTTCACTGCCACAGCAGAGCTGCCAGTCTTGGAATTAAGGTTAAGGTATGCAAGCTACCAATTTCCAGTAGATAAGCTGCTCTGACAAAGAGATAAATCAAGAGGCAATTCCAAAACAATTCCTTTGCTAGAGTGAATACTCCGTGAAAACTGAAATGTTGTTGTAGCATCTGGGCAACTCTCTGGGCTCAGCCATCCAGCCAGATTTTTACCTACCAAACAGAGCCCCTGTCCAAGCCATGGACAGCCAGTTCCTCCACGAGGATGCTGTGGGAAATGGTGTTAAACTCTTTATTAAAGTCCAGATAGACACATCCACAGCCTTTCCTCATCCACCAGGTGGGTCTCCCTCTCATAGAAGGAGATCAGGTTGGTCAAGCAGGTTTTGCCTTTTCCTAAACTCACGTTGGCTGGGTTTGATCCCCCCATTAACAAATCTCAAAATGTTAATGGGAAAACATAGTTGCAGTGGAGTTTTTTTGTCCAGAGGATTTCTCCTGGGATCAGTGCTATCCAACACTGAGCACTGCAAATCTTAAACCCAGTAGAAAAACGTCACCCTCAATACACACTTGGAGAAGATTCAGTCAGTGTCTAATTGCTTTATAAAGGGCTTCACTCCTTGGATGTTGCTGTAATTCAATTAATAGCCGCTTATCACAGGGAATTTGACTATCCCTGAAACAAACCTTAGTTTATTTTGTTTATTGCTGCATTAGACAAAAACACATTGCCAGACTTGGCAGTTCAGGCAGTGCTGCACATACTGATGCTGGTCAGTGCTGGGTGCACCAGTCCTGCTGCATCATCTCCTGGAGCTGCAGGCACTGGAAAATGTCACAACACTCACAGAATTCCTGGGACTTACTGCCTGTAGACCAAACGTGTGAAATAAACAAAAAAGTCTTTGATCCCTGCTGGACACGGAGATTCCTTACCTGCAGATCTCTGGCTATTCAAAATCCAAGCTTAGAGTACCCCATGAATTCCTTACATATGCAAACTGCTGTGCTTTTACCACGTTTTTAAGAGTTACTTAATCCACCTCTCTCTGCATCCATGTGCTAGAACAACTTCTATCAGAAATGTGTGCTTGGCAACAGTCTTGCATGTTTAAATTAAAGAGAGGAAAACACTACTGTGAGAGCAGCAGGCATGAAAATATCGAGTTTGATAATTATATAAGCAGTTTTCTCTGTGATATTACTATTTTGGGGCGGGGTTGTATTTAAGAGTGCTTGAATATTCAATATCTGTACAAATTGTTTTTTTTCCAGAGTGAGAGTGCTATGATTATTCTGCAGGAGCTGCACGTGAGGATGCTCATCCTCTGCCGAGCTATCCTGATCCATTTCCTCCCTGACAATTCCTACCTTGGCTTCTCTCGGTGGGCCCCCTGAGCATCACACATCTCTTAATCTTCCCAATGAACTGATGTGGTGCTTATGCACAGCCAGGCTGTGGTGGTACATACACGTGAACGTGGCACATGAAATCAGAATTTTTGGGAATCACGGGATCAGAGCGGTTTGGGCTGGAAGGGATCTTAAAAAATATCTGGTTCCAACCCCCTGCCACACGCAGGGGGACGTTCCAGCAGGCCAGCTTGCTGCAAGCCCCATCCAGCCCCATCCTTCTCCAGAGCTGGCGCTGCCACACGCCGGTGTAGCCCAGCCGCTCCATGGCGCAGGCCATGTGGAAGGGCCGGGATGAGCCTCGGGGCACAGCGGGTCGCGGCGTTTGTGCTCCGCACACGGTGACACCGCGCTCCAGCGCAGCCTTGGCAGCTCCGTCCCGCTTCGTGGGGGAGCGCTGGGCCCGAGGCTGGAGCTGGGATTAGGGCCGGGACCGGGACTGGGACCGGGACTAAGCGAATCTTCCCGGGCTGCCGGCGGCCAATCGCGGCTGCTTGGGCGCACCCCCGCGGCTCCGCTGCCGCCGGGCATGCCGGGAGCTGTAGTTCTCTCTCTGCATTACCACCGTTCTGCGCTCGGCGAGATGAACTACAACTCCCAGTAGCCTACGAGGCTCCGCCGCGCCGTTCCCGGCCGTGCCTACGATCCCCATCGCGCCCCGCGGGGCCTGGAAGAAGAAGCGGGTCCGGGAGCGCGCGGGGCGGCGTCTGCGCAGAGCGCGGCTTCCTGAGCGTCTGGTGGCGGCCGCCATTTTGTGGTGCCGCTTCCCTCTCCCGCTCGGGATCTGCGGCCGCGGGACCTGGCGCGGGGGCGACGCGGAGCGGGGGGAGCCGGGGCCGCCCGCACCCTCCTCACCTTCCCTTCGCCTCCGTGCGCCGCCGAGCCCCTCCGGCGCTGCCCCCGGGCGCGGCTGCGGAGAGCGGCGCTCGCCCACCATCATGGAAGACGACGGGCAGCCCAGGACCCTGTGAGTGGGGAGGGGGCGGCAGGGTGGGCAGCGGGCCTGGGGCGGAGCGGGGCGGGGGCAGGGATGCACTCCCGGGGAGCTGGGCCGGGGCCTCGAGGGGTGCCGGGGGAGCGGAGGGGGCTGAGCGGGACAGAGCGTGTGCGGCAGGGCCGGGAGCGGGGTCTGAGCATGGGGAGCGGGAGAGGAGCGCGGCTGCCGCACGGACATTGCGCTGCACCCATCCAAGGAAAACACCGCAGCTGCACCCTGGCTGTAACGGGGTCCATCCCCGGAGCTCCGGGGTCTGTCCTCGAAGGTTTGGGGGTGCAGGCAGGGGTCCCAAGCCTTCCCCGGGGGGCACAGGCCGCCCCCGGGTCCCCCCTGCACGGCGGTCCCGGCGCTGGGAAAGTTCTTTGTGCTCTCCCGGCGGTGGGTGGGATGGGAGCGCCGGGAGACCGGCAGGGATCGCTTTTCCCTCCAGCGTGTCACGGTGTGGTTCAATAACAGCGTATCGGGCCCAGCAGAAAGAAATAACTGTGTGTTGGCCGTGTCTCTCCGGGCTGTTTAGTCGCTTGGTGGCTGTCATCAGTTTTCTGTTTAAAAATACAAATTTGAGCATTTTGGGGATGCTGTTGAGTTCTTTTCAGCTTTGCAGATATGGTTTTGATAAATTTTCTTTGTCCTGTTAGCTTAAACGAGGGAGGCTCGCACTTGTGGTTGGGCACTGGAGAGCAGGGATTTTATGCTGCTGCTGATTTTAACCAGTTCCCAGATTCCCAGTGCAGCTGCCAGAGGATGTTTCGGGCTCTGTGAGCGGTGCAGCGTTCGGGCTGTCCCTGGGAGAAAGGCAGGCTCGTGCTCGGGCTGCCCAGATGACAAACACAGCTCAGGACAGTGCAAATGAAATCTTTGTCTATTTAGCTTTCAGGACAGTAGCCTTCAGAAAAGCTCTCCGAGATAGTCTGGACTGAAAGCTGCTCTAAAAAAACTACTGAAACAGAGTAAAATGTCCCGTAGTTCTGTTCACACTACCAAAATGATGACTTGGCATTTAAGGCTCAAGGCAATTTGTTTTTTCTCCTTTCTAGGCAAAAGTTCTTTTCACTCGTTTGTAGTGTAGTATAAGTACTCAGTCCTTGCTCCCTGAGATGCGTAATTTAAATAAGAATATCTGAAATGTTTTTTGTGTTGATTATCCAAATCATCTGAGTTTGCTTGGCCCTCAGAACTGACCTAGGTTTGAGTGTTGTTTTAGCATAGGAGGAGGGAAAAGAGCAGAGTCACACAGTGTTTTATTCAGTTTTATTTTCAAGGCTCCTTTCCTCATTATTGGCTCTTTTTCTTTCTTTTTAAGAACTGCTATATTCCCACTGAGGTTTAAAATGTTTTTTTAGTGCTAACAAGTTTGGGTACCACATTGGCCATGGGTCCTTCCCAGTAACACATCCATCAAGGATCTGACTTAGCCCACTTAGTTACTAACAAGAAAAAAATAAATTTGTACCTTGCTGACTGAAATAGCATCTCTACAGCTGCCCCAAATGGTTTATTGCACATGTGTGACTGTTTCATTTGTTAAACTAATAAACAGCATGCACATTAATTTCCTAGTAGTTCTGTAGTAACCACAATCCTGTAATTATTTGTAGGCTTTTTGCATGGAAGACAAACATTTTGCTGTAGCACTTTCTACGTTTTACTTTCTTGTCCCTACTTTTTATCTGAAATGTCTTTAAATTTAGGATAGCAAGTCGTGTGTTAAAGGTTATTATCCTGAGCACCACTTTTCATATAAAGCAGTTGTGATGTCATAAATAAAAATCACTGTCTCCAAAGAACAACAAATAAAAATATTGTTAGTTGAACTTAAAAGTTTTCATTATTTGGTTTATTTGGAGAGGGGGAAAAAGTGGAGAACAAATTGTTTCAGTAGCTGTTTGACCATGTGCAAAAGCACTTGATTGATAGTGTAAGCAGTACTTTATGAATGTCTTAGTTTTTTCACTCCTCAAGGAATAAATGAAATCCCAAATCTGTAAATTAGGAAGGAATTTTCTTTTTTTAACAGTTGTAAGTTTTTGGGGTTTTTTACTTATAAAAAGCAAACCTACCTAACCACTGTTCACTCAACGTTTATGCCCATCTTAAACAGCTGGGGAATAAGAATTGTTTCAATTTGCAGTACTTACAGGGCTGTTATGTTGTTTCCAGTCATGATAGGTCAGTCATGGACCTCTAAGAATTCTGAATATTTTCTGAGGCTTAATACAGAAACCTGACACCATTTGCATTTTTATTTGTTATATTTCTTAACTTTATAGAAATGTGAAGAATTACCTTAGTTCCTTTCTGCCGAAAAACTCTCCAGGAATGGGGGCCTTTTTGTGTGATTTGTCACATGGAATTTTTTAGCTGGTCCTAAAATGAGCTGTGAGCTTCTGATTTATTTTTGTTTTGTTTTAATAGAACACTTAAAAGCTGTGTTTTGTGTGAATACTGTTAGATTTCCCAGGCTGTATCAGTCCTGTTTCTACTACTAAACTATCAGGAACTTAATGTGTTTTAATGCTACCAGCTCTCACAGACACCCAGAAAAGTTCCAAAGTTATATTCTCGTTCATGCTTTTAGAAATGTTTTGTGTGGTTTGTAGGCGTTCAGTGACTGCTCTGAAGTCACTGCATACCTACAGCTGTTATCTCATCAGCCTTGCCATGCTGTATTCCAGGAATGTGGATGAGGTGCAGGAGTGAAGCTTCACCCGGATTCACTCCTCTTGAACTTCCTTTCAGTTCAGCTCTTGTACGGGAATGTCTCCTGGAGGAGGCTACAGAGTGGATTATTCTTGGTATCGTTTTATTTCCAGTAGCTCACAACCACTAGGCAGAGTTTCCAGAATTTCCATGGGCTCTTGAGCACATCAGTTATCCTATTGCTTATCATCATTTTCTCTTTTACGTAGGGAAACCGCCATTTCTTGCATGTTGCCTGTGTGAGAGAGAAATCAGATTTACTATCTTTCCTCAGAAAAGGATGTAAGGGAGTTTTGTGGACCTAAAAGTAGTGGCTGTAAATGTCCCTTTCTTACTTCCCTGTCTAGAATGCAATACAAACCTGTTTACCTTCAAAAAGAGAGTTTTTCAGCCAAAGAGTTGAGTTCCAAAACTCATTGTGGACTGATACGTGCCTCTTGTGTTCTTTAGATAGTTCTACAGCATCTCTGAATTTCAAGTAGTTTATTATTCTTTGTGTTGTCAGCAGGATGCAAAAGAGTAATAGACAAAAAATTATGTCAGGACATCTGTCTATAGGTTGTTGGATTGTTTTTTGGGGTTTTTTTGTAGCTGCTTATTAATTGGTAATTAAATGCTTCAGGCTTGCAGAAGGGAGCAAACACTACTGCCTGTGTGCAAAAAGCCACCATTTTTGCTACCCTGCCACATCATTCAAGACCATCTATAAAAGTTTAGTAAGTGCTTCTGCCCTGCTGGATTTTATAATTTTTAAAAAGTTTGCATAATATATCCTCTAGAAAGTATCAGTCCAAAAAGGTTGAAATACCGTACAATAGCATGTTAGGAGTCTTCTGGTTTCTTGAGGTGTGGTTCTGATAATTTTGAATTCATGAAGTAGAGTAGAAGATGCTGCTCTGTTACATCACGTGTAAATGGAGCTAGAAAGGGGAAAGCTGACCACAGGCTGGCCATGTGTGATTAGCATCAGCTGAGCCAAGTTTTGCGTTTCCAGAAAGGAAAGGTGTCTGTTCCTAACGTGGTGAATATATTTCTTTCTTTAGTTCTGTAGTATTCAGACATTCACACTGAGGATATTTGCTTGTATGTTTTTGTTAAAGTCATCTCTGCCGTACTGAAGGAGGTGATGTTACTGCATTCTGCTTAAAGACATGAAAGTAAACATCAAGTCTTACTTTTTAACTTACTGTTTCAAATTTGTAAAGGTTTGTATTCCCATGTTTTACATTCAGTTTGAGACATTTGGGTCTCTGGGTGTTGTCCTTGCTACATGAACCTTTACTGTTCAGTATTCCCAGTGTGTACATTACAGAAGTTTGAGTTTTAGCAACTTGGGAAGGGTGGGAATGCCTCTGACTAATGGAAATATTATGCACCAAGGCAGTATTTATCATTTAGGGAATTAATGGACCAGTAGGATTTCACATCCCATCTGAATCTAGCAGTCAAGGTGGTCCCGATTTTTATGAAAAGGCAGCTTGTTTCTTAGCTGAGGTTTATGATGCAACATTCTCACAACTACCTTGCTGATATCAAAAAAACACGTAGTAGATCTGATCTCTTCCAGCAGTTAGTGTAAGTTTTCTTACTTCAGTTGAATAAATTGCTGAAGCATGGCTTTCCGTGGCCTTCTAAAAACTTTTGTCAGACCAAGAGGAATTCTCCAGCTTGATTTTCAGACTTCTTGTGTTTCCCAAAATACATGTTAATATTATGCAGAAGAGGATAATATTTGGTTTTTTGTTTGTGTTAATTGTACTCCTTACTGTATCTGATTTGCAGTAGAACTGATGTTAATGAGACTTCACTGTACTTAATTTCATATCAGTGTTAGTGTATCAGTGTGCTGTGAAGGCTCAGTATTAATGAATCCTATTCTGCAGCATACAGAGGAAACCAGTACTAGCAATAAGTTCACAGCACCACTGACCCTTTGTGTTGGAATTCCTACTGGGATATACATTTTCCGTCTGATTTTAGGTATCTGCAAAGGTTAATACTTCCACTGAAAGCTATTAGTGATTTACAATTTATTTTTGGTGAATGATTAACAAAAAATTTAGTTAATATTTCAGAAAGGAGGTATGGATAAATGTTTAACTACTAAGTTTTCAGGATAGAACTAAAAGTCACTGAGATGGACAGTTTGTCCTGTAAGGGGTCTTGGAGTTCTGCAGTTTTTAACTTCTCTACTGAAAAGCTTCATAACAATGCAGGCTTCTGTTAATGACTTGTGTTAATTCATACGTATTTAATAAGAAACTAATGAGTACATGAAGGATTTTAGTGGATGTTCTGTATTCAGGTGATACTTCAGAAACTCAGTATGGATCTTGTAGCACTGAAGTCCTGCTGAGAAAGTGCAGAATTGCCCCATAGATGCTGAAAGAAGGACATAAACAAACATCTGTTGATAACATTGTGTGGTGTTCTGATGAAAACAAACAGTGTCCGTTTTTATTTTGCTGATCCAGATGAAAGTCCAGCTGTTAAGCACAGAATTTGCTTTTCAAAACTTTTCAAGGGCTGCCTCTCAGTGCAATATCACAGCACACCTTTATTAACTCAAAATAACTTTGTGGGCAATAAGAAACGCTTGTTCCCGTTTATGTTCACTCTATTAAGAGGTCAGGCTGACTTTAGTTTGCAATTTTATGATGTTCTGTAACTGACCAGAGTAAAATGTATATTCTTTCAATATCTAAATTACAGAAGGTTCTGCTCATCTTAATGGTTGCCCTTGAATACTTGTAAAGATGATGAATGTCCCTCTGCTGATGGCTTTTGACATCTGTTACTGTGACAAGCCTTTCTCTTAACTGATCACTTTGTTTACAATTTGATTACAAATTAGTCACATTGTTAAAAAGAATTGAGTTTTGCCTTCCTGACTTTCTCAGCCATTATTGTCACCTGGTAAATCTGGGACTCTTACCTAAACTTGATCAGTGTTTCAAAACTTGAAATTATTTCTCAAGATTTACAAACTAACAAAAATCAAGAAGTCTGGATGATATTAAAATAACACTGCCAGAATTTTGGGGGTATTACAAAGGTGGGAACTGTTGAGATGGATGCTGTACAGTGCATTCCTATGGCAGAATGCTGCATAAATTGCCTTGTCTGTTGGTGAGTGGGCTGGCTTTCCAAATGTTCAGGAAAACAGAAAAGTTGAGTTGGTTGCTTGCAAGGCAGCACAATTTGTCCGAGGGCTGCTCCTGAGCTTATGGGAGTTAGATGTGTGTTTGTACCCAAATTCAGAAGTATTCTTGATGAGATACTCAGTGGGAAGTGAAACTTAAAATATCATTGCCCAGTTGGTTGCTTGTTCTGCACAACATTCTTGAGCAATGTTTTCGTGCTTTTGACATCTTTGTGCCAAGGAAATGATTGACACTGGGTCTTGGTGTCCAGTGTTGTCTGAATTGAACTTCATGTCCCAGTTGTGTGGCCAGTGTCATAATTTAGAAACCACATGAGTACTGCATTAAAACGATAAAATAATTTGTAAATATTGTCTGTAAGATACCTGAGATGTTTTAAAGGAAGGTTCTTTATAGTTGTTTTAAGTTTTTAAGCCTATAATTACATTTTAAAAGATGATGATTTCTGGTTTAAAATCTTGGTCTTTTGTTTTTTTCCCTTGTGTAGCTATGTAGGAAACCTCTCCAGAGATGTGACTGAGGTTCTCATACTTCAGTTATTCAGCCAGATTGGACCATGCAAAAGCTGTAAAATGATAACAGAGGTAAGGTCTTCCACATCTGGGGGGGGATAGCAAATGTAATGTAACTTTATCCTAAGTTGTCCAAAAAAATGAAGTTGGAGGCTTCTTTTGGCATTACTGGCAGTGGGTTTCTTTGGGTTGACAGTGTTTGGCTTTGGGGGTAACTCTTTGCAGGAGAGACCCTGGGGTGTGCAATCCTGTGTTTTTGCCTGTAGTCCTGACATAACTTTTATCAGCTGATGATGAGATGCCACTTTTAAATAAAAGATTGTTACCCCCTCTTTGCAGAATCACATTGTTCTGATGATCAGAAACCTTATTTCAAGTGTTATTCAAGGCTGTTTTGTACATTTTTCACTTTATTTGAACATGAGCCTCAGTAATTCTTGTTCCTCTTGAATAAATGGTTCTTTGCTAAGGTTGAAAAGCAAGAAATCCTTCAAAATAAGTTTGAGTCTTCCTCAGCTTTTTCTACACTAGTTCAAATAGCCCTTGTCTGCACCAGTACAAATAGCTCTTGTCTGCACCTGTCTGTTCTTAAATTATTTTTCCCTTGAAACAAAGTGACAAAATTTCCATAGTATTGCAGATAAAGTCTTTTGCACAGAGTGTTGGTAAGTATTAATGCTTTCTTATCTCCACTGTAAATACTCTGGAACCTTTATGGTTGGCAGCCATTTCTGTGAGCTTTTTGACACATCCTACAAAACTTCTCTCTCCCTGGTAGTTTTCCTTCTTTCTGTGTTTATAACTGGTAAGCTTTGAGCAGGCAGGCACTAATCTGAGCTTCTGCCAGGTTTAAGCTTTGGTTCTTCATCTCTGTTTCTATATACTCTTCATACTTTACTACATCTTGTACTTCATACTAACTTGTAATTACAGATTTTTTGAGGACAGTTACATTAGTTTTTCTCAATATTGTTAATGAAAGTATTAAAAGGCAAGTCTTGTGACCAGACTTCTTTAGGAATGCTAGCAGAAACTCCCCTGTGGGCTTCTTTCTTTCTTACAGTGTGTCACACAATTTGTTTGTTTCTTTGTTTTTACCCTATCATCAGCTTGCTGCTTGTTTAATCAGACTCATCTTTGTCTGGACTAATAATTTCCCATGTGACACTTTTCTCTACTGCATTTGCTTTAAGTTTGTTGGAGAAAAATAACAGAAGGATGACAGATCACTGTTGTTAGTTTTTCTCAGAAGAAACAGTTTTGATTGTCAGGTGCTCTGCAGACATAAGGTGCTGCTGCTCCCACCTTTGGCTGGGTGAGAGCTGTTAGCATCAGTTGGGTTTCTTGAGGATCAGATGAGAAATTCCAACATTTTTACCTTGATTGAGACTTTGTGGTTTTAAGATCTTCCCATAAGTGAGACATCTTTATGAAATAAGTAGATAAACAAGAACTGCAGCTGTATTCAGTCACACAGAGGTGACTGCACTGAGCTGACCTCAGCACCTGCCAACAAGCAGTCACAGAAGTGCAGATTGGCTTCTAGACTGGCACTGGCCTGCAGCTGTCACAGCACTTGTGCATGGTGTCCATCCTTCTACGATGTGTGGTAAACCTGTCCTAGGAGCTGAATCGTGATTAGGTGGTTCTTACCATTGTTAGTACCACCATCACCTTTTAAAAACCTGTGATTTTTCCATTTTAGCAGGTTGTATCAAATAATTCTTTTTCTTTTGTAGAGTATGTGACATGAACACATCAAGTGTTGAAACATTTCAAGTGTTTCTTCTGGGGGTATATAATACTCAGGCTGGTGGCACAGTATTTGTAGATAGTTTGAGCACCTAAAGATCTGAGTGTCTGCAAAAGAGATTTTTCTCATGTTCAGACAAGTTCTCAGTGCTAAAGAAGATCTCCCTACAATCTAAAAGTAAGGCTGCACTTCAGCTGAAGCATAAACTACACCAAATTTCCTAAAGAAGCCTTAAATTGATTTCCCAAAGAAGTGTGGGAGGAGGGGTGGATTAAGGCCTTCTTTTTTGGGGCATCTGAGGTGAGTGTGCTTGTAGAGAACTTTGTGACTGAAACTTTTTTTATGATCTCAGGTACATTTTCTTTCATCTGTTCATTGTGCATCAGTTAGAGGCCCCAAGTACTGACAGTATTCAGGAGGATGACTTCACACTCCATGACTGAGGTGTAGAAAGGCCTTGTGATCCGTTCAACTGTTGCATCTCAACAGCTTTAGAAGTAGACAGGACTATGTTTGAAGCTGTACAATCCAGTTTTAGGGGGAAGGATTAGAATTGCTCATCAGTAAGTGTGTATGAGTTGTCAGAAGTTAAAAGGAATGCTGGAAAAGGCTTCTCTTAACTTGTGTTACAGCTGTGTTCTACCTGGCCCTGGGGGAGGTTGGTAGGTGAGAATACTGATGCCAGAACAGTTCCTGTGTGCTAGACCCTTCCCTGTCCATGTGAGAAATCCTAGTTTAGGGTCATGTTAGTGTTTATTGTCTTTTGGTCTGTGCACTTGCTGGATAGTTAATGGAAATGTTTTGGTTAGAGTTTTTGTACTCATTACATCTTGGAGGAGATCAAATCCAGTGTTCAGGTTGGCATTCTCGACATCCTTTCCACTTGATCAGCTTTTCAGAAAACTCTTCTGTTCTTTGCACTTTATACTCTGGTGCATTTATTACTTCAGCGGCCTCTGTCACTGAGTACTTTTAAAGGTGATTTGATATGTCATCCTACAAAAACAGGTTGTACTCAAGGTTTAACAGAGTTAACAGTCAATTGATTAATACCTTTTTTCCCCAGTCAAACCATTTGGAGTTCTTTTAAAAGGTTATTTCCCAGCTGTTTGCTATGGTATTTTTCACTTGAGACTGACACTGCAGCTTCCAGGTTGCTGCCTGCTGGTGGTTTTCAGTCAAATAAAAGGAAAGACTTCTTAAGTAGGGCAAGAGAAAATTGATGAAAATGTGTCTGGGGAATAAACCTTTCTGGCTTTGAGTATATGCATGAGGCAGTTTTGTTCTTCTCTCCATTCTCCCCCTTTTCCCCCTCCTTTCCATCCAGTTTGCAGATCACTTTTCTGGTCAGTTATTTTTAGTTCAGTAAACTTCAGTCCTCATTCAAAGCAAGCTATCCTTCAGAACCTGCTAGACCTTTAATAAAAAATCCATCTTAATAATTCTTGCATTTAAGTGTAATGTCAAAGGCTATTTCATAAATCTGATGCAAATCATTCTCAAAGTTTCTAGCTATAAGTAATATATTTTCCTGGATTTTCTTCTCAGCAACCCGATAGCAGAAGGGTCAACTCTTCTGTTGGATTTTCTGTTTTGCAGCATACAAGCAATGACCCTTATTGCTTTGTGGAATTTTATGAACACAGAGATGCAGCTGCTGCATTAGCTGCTATGAATGGGAGAAAAATTTTGGGAAAGGTAAGTTGCTCACATGGTAATCTTAGATATAAAGAATATAGATTTGTGTGAAAATATTAATGAAACCGTTGAAGATGTTTTACCAAGATTAAATATTGATAGAATAATCTTTTTGAAGTATTGATATAAAAACAGTAAGTCTTGTTTAGGAAATGTGTTATTTGTGATGTTTTGTTTATGATGGTGTTTTATATTAAATGATGATTAGTAAATGTTGACAGTTGTAACCTACCCTTGAATGAACTTATAAAATGTAAGAATTTTGTGAATTTATACTAAATCTTATACTTGTTTTCAGGAAGTCAAAGTAAACTGGGCAACAACACCAAGTAGCCAGAAAAAAGATACATCCAGTAAGTAATGTAATGCCACAGTATCACTTCTACACAAATACTGCACAAAGTGGTAATAATTGATCATAAATGCATTTAAACATAACTTCTCTCCTTCCCATCTAGTGTTTAATAGAATTTGGCAAACTAATTCTTCTGTTTCTGCTTTACAACTGGGGAAACCGGAGTGGACAGATTAAATTGCTGCTGCTCTTCACATGGAATCCTGAGCGTTCCTGGTTCCCAGTGCTGTGTGCAGAGCATCACTTTCTCAGGAGTTGAAACTTTAGATAGCAGTTAAATATTTGATTAGTAAATTATTTATTTTCAGATCACTTCCATGTGTTCGTTGGGGATTTAAGTCCAGAAATAACAACAGAAGACATCAAGTCAGCATTTGCTCCTTTTGGTAAAATATCGTAAGTATCATCATAAACATTTCCATTATCAGTCAGAAAATGTTATAGTGAAAATGTGTTTTTAAGTTGAAATGTTATTTCTTATCTATTGAGATGATTTTTCTGCTGTTCATTTCCTTGTGGTGGGTGGATGGGTAGTAAAGAGGGGTTGTATCTCAATGTGTTTCACAATGTAAATACAGTAATGTGATTGTGCTCTGGTTTGCTGAAAGCAATGTGCTTTTAACCTAATTTATATGCTAATGTCCTTCAACTTTTTATTAAAATTTAATTACTGCTCTAAGTGTGGTTTTTTTGGTGTTGAGAATGTGTACAGAGTAGTGATTTGACAATTGGTATCTCTTGTATCCTGGGTGTGTTTTATGTGCATTTTTACTGCATTTTATAGACAATGTGAAAAACTGGGCAATTGGAATATAATTCTATAAAGCAGCTAGTTAATAACTTGGGAATGGTTTGAAAAAAGCTAATACTTATGAGAATGAAATCTGGGGTTTTTTTATGATAATGGGATGAATTACAATTATCTTAAATGAAAGAATGGTGGCTTTACAATATGTGCACATTTCTGCCAGTTAAGAGAATGTTTCTTTAAACTCTCATGAACAATTCAGGTGATACTAAATCACCTGATGTTTTAATTGAATATATTTAACATTACAAAATCCTTGAGAGTGCTAAAGTATATATGTCCTAAAGAGTACTGCAACTAAAAAAGTCTGTTAATCTTTTATCAGTTTATCTTTATAAAAATCAAAGTTGCACATGAACGTTTTTGTACTACTTTACAGGAATATATTTCTAAGAACAAAATTCTTATTTTTCTCTTGTTCTGTACGCATATTTTTAAATGAATCATAAATCTTATTTCTTACCTCTGCTGTTTTGTTTACTTTGCTTTTTGTCTCTTAATGTGGTAAGTAGTACTGTTTTAAAAATCAATTTAAAAAGAATAATTCAGGTTTCTGTTTCTCAATCTATATTTATACCTGAGACCTGCAGTTTTTCTAAAGTCCAAGTCACAATTAAAAGTAATAGCATTCTGGTTATTTTGCAGAATTGCTCATAAGAATGGACAGGATCTTGAAGGCTAACTGCAAGGAACTGTGCACACTGGAACTCAGTTGTAGATTTTTTCTCATTTCTATTTATTCTTATTATACATTATTTATATATACATATTTTAGTATTTACATTTTAACATTCTATATTCAGTGCAGTTCTATATTTCCAATCATTTTAACTTACTCACTAAAATTTCTGTGTAAATTTGTTGTTTTCGTACTGGTGTGCTTAGCATTGTTGTTAGTTTTATTCTCCTTTCTTAAATTTCTGAAAATGTCAATTTTTCAAAATTTACAGCTACCCAAACTCCAAAATGATGGTAGAGAATTGACCAAGAAAAATAAAGAAATCTGTTAACAGGCCATGTATGCCTTTTAATTCCTATTTTTTCCTCTTTTTCGATTTTTTTAATATTTCATATATTTTGTATCACTAGGCAGAAGACATTTAACTATTTAGAAAATGCATGGTAAATTAGATAGAATTGTTACAGTAATTTATAGAACAGTGAACCTTAGAGGACCCTAGCCAATAGAATATTAGAAAAGGAAACTTTGTTTCTCTTATACTTCAAATTTGAACATTCTAGTTATAGCCAGTATAGGTTATGTGCATAGGTTGCATGTTTATTACATGTTATTTTTTTTGTCCTACTGCTTTTTTCTAACAGGTAAAGAAGCAATAGGGAGAGTTCAGGAATGACTGTAGTTTTAGGGCTAACTGAATTTATAAGAAAAAATTATGCTCACAATACAGTGTGTGTGGTTCCTTTTAGTTTTTATTTTGCAGGTTATCAATACTACCCTCATATAGCTGTGCTTCTTTTCACAGGGATGCACGGGTAGTTAAAGATATGGCAACTGGAAAGTCAAAAGGCTATGGTTTTGTATCTTTTTATAACAAACTGGTGAGTAATCACAATGCAGGTTTAAAATAGTTCCTATTTTCCATTTTTAGTTTTGCCTGTTTATGTATTCGCTGTTTATTAGACTTCACCCAGGGAAACAAATTTACATGTACAGGAGCTGTATGTATGTTTAGGACAACGTGGGAAAACTGTGAATCATTTTCCTTAAATATTTTGCATAGGAAAAATACACAGTTTCAGAAGTTTAGGTATATAAAACCTATTATTTCTGTGGTCAGAAGTCCTACATGTCAGAGCTCTTTTGATGTTCTATAACAGTTACCTGGAGCTATCATAATCAGAGAAAATATTTTAATTTTTTCAGTTTTGCCAACGCCATAAGATAGACTAAATCAAGGCATTCAATTCAATCTTTCCAGTTACACTTCCTTTGTTCTGTGTTACAGCTGAAAAAGCAAGGAATAGCTGTTATTTCCTTGTACCCCTCTTCCCTTACCATACAGTTCTGTTTGGTTCCTGTGACCAGAGGGGAAGTGTAACAGTCCTGGAATTCAAGTTACTGGATTCTTTTTCAGACTGGGCCGTAAAAACTCCAATTTCAAATTTGTATTCATTCTACAAAACTAATGGATGAATTCTAAACATAGTACTACAAAGTACTCTAAGTTGTATGTCCTGATTGCTGTTCATTCTCACAGCAGCTGCACCTACTGTAGGGTTATAGTGTGACTGTTCTGAGCAGGTACTTTAAGGTGTGTTATTCAGAATATATCATTCTGCTACATTTGGGCAAGTGGGATATGCTCCCAGACAGGTACCCCAGCCTGAGCTCTTAATGCATAACACAGTTAAGAGAAAATTGGAACTGCTGCATTGGACTGGATGAGTTATGGCTTGGGCTCTGTTCCATTTTTGTCTCAGCTGTGATCCTCAAGCAGGATAGCAGCAAGATTCATCAGAGAGTGTTTCCTTTCCTAGTCAGTTCATTATGTATTCACCATGTTTTAGGAACCAAGGGTGCTTGAATCAAGTGGGGTATTTCTGGTGGTTTAGTTTTGTCTTTTAGATTGGGTTTTTCTTTTCTTATTGGTCATCTTTTGTAATTTCATTTTTGTATTGTACTCAATATAATTAAAACCTAGAAAGATCAAGGGTCCTGAGTGTGAGAAGAGAATTCTAGCTGGGAGCAGCTCACCTTTACCTTGTTCACATTTTCTTTGTCCCTTGTGCTTGGCAGTTTTTTTCCTTAAGCTTTGTGCCCTTGGAAAAGCATCTCAAATGTGCGCTAACTATGTGTTCTGCCTGTCTTCTTCCAAAGAAATTGGGAGACAAATTGCTTCTTGCAGCTGTTAGCAAACTTACCCTTGCTTACCAGATGTTTCTGCTTACACTGTGAACTCAAAGATTGTCTTCAGTTTCGTGTTCAAGATAAAATGTGGACCATGGGTTTTCGTGTGTGTTCATACAATGACTTTAACATGTAGAGAACTTAGAAAGCATCTGTTGCACACCTCCAGGAAGCAAAAGAAACATGTAATGATAGTTGTTTTAGTTCAGTGATTGGATCTGTGTGACCTTCCCACTTTTTTGGGTAGCTTTTGAACATTCTAGTGCAGTGCTTGTATGGTATATGTATAAATGTGTGTGTGTACATGTATGTATATGGTATATATACAGGTAGTATATATATAATGGCAGTTGGCTTCTAACCTGTGTAGAAAATGGGTGAGAAGAAGTTTTTATCAAATGACTTCTGAGGGCCTTGTCTTGTAAACAGTTGCCTTCATGTTAATTAATGTTTGTCTGCTTGCTATGATCAGAATTTCATACTCTTCTTAGTACTGTTACTGGTGTAACAGTGGAATTAACTGCTAACCAGTAGATGTGTACATGGCTCTTGTTTGGAAGTGCTACAATCTCTGTTTTAATCTCTTCAGGATGCAGAAAATGCTATTGTACACATGGGAGGTCAGTGGCTGGGAGGCCGCCAGATCAGAACTAACTGGGCAACAAGGAAACCACCAGCCCCCAAAAGTACACAAGAAAGTAAGAGCTTCTTGTCATGCTGTGTTGTGTTTGCTATCTTTTCACTGTTCAGTGAGGGTGTAAAACATAAGCCAAAATCATGTCATTAAATCACATATTAGCTTGCCTTCCAGATCTTGATTATATTTTTTTGGTATGTTGTATCAACATAGTGCTGGCACTGCTGGTCTGTCATAAAATATTGAATATGTTTGTTGAATGTGAAATTCATGCTTGTGTATGAGGTAAGTGTCTGGGTTTCTGTCAGCCCACTGCTGAAAACCAGCCTTCTCTCTTTATAGATAATACAAAACAGTTGAGATTTGAAGATGTAGTAAATCAGTCAAGTCCAAAAAATTGTACTGTGTACTGTGGAGGGATTGCCTCGGGGCTAACAGGTATGAAATATTCTCTTATTTTTTATTATTGAAACTTCTTGGACACCAGCATGATTACTAATTCAAAAACATTTTATGTTGTAGATCAACTTATGAGACAGACTTTTTCACCGTTTGGACAGATTATGGAAATAAGGGTGTTTCCAGAAAAAGGTTACTCATTTGTCAGGTATGGACAGAGAGGGAAAAATCTCTGGGTCTGTGTGTGTGTAGTAATGCTTCATCTCTCTGTAACTTCACTTGATTGAACTTGTCCTGATATAATAAAAGCTGTGACCATATATTCATAGAATAATTAGGAACTTGTAAAAAGGGCCACCAACATTTTTACCTGAGAAGATGAATGTTTGTGAAAGCAGATGTTTTTCCCTGGATGTCCTGTATGTATGGAGTAACTGTTTTTTAAGTAATCAGGTGGAAGTACTGTAAAACATAACATTAGTTTGTTTTTACATTTTTTAGGTTTTCTACCCATGAAAGTGCAGCACATGCTATTGTTTCAGTTAATGGAACCACAATTGAAGGACATGTTGTTAAATGTTATTGGGGTAAAGAATCCCCTGATATGACTAAAAACTTCCAACAGGTAACTGTACTTAACCTTTTCTTTGTATTACAAAAGCAATTGTGTTTATACCTGTAATGACTTCCCAGTTATAATGGCTAAATTTTGTGGTGGAGTTCTTATGAAATTCCATGTTCTGTCTCAGTTATGTTCCAGTTCATCAAATTGGGCTAGTGATTTTGATGGAATATCTGTTACTGTCTTCTGGATATGATCCAAGATAGGGAGAAACTTTGAGGTAATTCTAAATTCTTGCTGTTTTGCTAACTGCAGATTAGGTGGCTGTCCAACCAAATAGTCTTTGGGGTTTCAAGCACATACAAATATATTTTTCAGTGCAAGGATCTAATTAAGTCATAGTGACATCTTATTTTTCAGATCTCACTATTGCTTGTTTTAGCTCTCTGATTGATATAGCCAAAACTTTGCCTTCAGCAGCACAAATGCAATATAAACCATCTCTAGAACCTGAAGTACAATGGGTTATTCTTTCTGCAGGTGGATTACAGTCAGTGGGGACAATGGAGCCAAGTATATGGAAATCCACAACAGTATGGGCAATATATGGCTAATGGGTGGCAAGTACCATCGTATGGAATGTATGGCCAAGCATGGAATCAACAGGGTTTTGGAGTAGAGTGAGTAATTATATTTAATTTTTAGAATATTCCAAGATTGCTGTGTCTTAAGTTTCAGGCTCAATTGGGTGAAGGATTACACAAGGGTTCAAACTTCAGGGGGACTCCTGTGTGCTTAAAGCTTATGTTAATGCTTGCCATGGGCAGATATTGGGGTGAGTGGCTCTGACTTGTACCTGATGGCACATTTTGTGTGTGTTGGAGGCACAAAGACCACCCAGTGTGGTAAAGTTTTGGGTGGTGGTCTTGTCTGGTATCTAAATATATCCTGGATTCTGCCTTGAGGTGGTCAGTCTGAGCCAGGAGCCCGGATATTTGCCTACAGGAGGAGAAGGAACTACACACAGACACTTTACTTGGTGCAGTTTCAGAATTTGGGTGGGCTTTTAATAATGTGTTTCTTGAAGACTGAAGTCTCCACAAGGGCTCTTCGTTTTAATATAATTTTGAAATAACTTGTGTGCCTAGTTCTTCATTATCTGGTGCCAATTAAACATTTTAAGCCCTGATAAACCTATCACTGGTGTTCGTGTCCATGAGGTATTGGGTATTTCTTGCATTTCTGCATCACTGATGTTGAGTTCCAGCCACTTGTGCATGTTCATACCTTTGGAGGCAGGTGCTATATCCAACTGGTACCCAAGGTTTGTGGGGTTTTTTCTCCTTTGTTCTTAAAAAGCTCATAATATTTTCAGGAGTCACATGTTGTACAGCTTAACCTGAATTACTCATTAAAAAGAAGAAATTATTCTATTTTGATACAAGTAGTTGTGTAGGAAGTATGTTTTAATGTTTTGTTTGGTTTTTTGTTTTTTTTTTTTAAGTTGCTTTTCCCCACTTTTTTAACCATTCTGTTTCTTTTTAAGCCAATCTCCATCTGCTGCCTGGATGGGTGGATTTGGTGCTCAACCTGCCCAGGGACAAGGTGCTCCTGTAATACCTAACCAAGCTGGATATGGTATGGCAAGCTACCAAACGCAGTGAGCTGGGACTCTGTTTAAAAGTGTGTATTTCATGATAGGCTGCAGTTTCCAGTGACATTCTGAAGACTGGAATGTAGACAATGAAAAAAAAAAAAAAGAAAATATTTATTTTAAAAATGGAAATGTTTGGAACCTTTAGCACAGCTTTGCTTTGGTGAAGGACACAAATGTCTTCTAGTTCTGCCTTTTTAAGTTTTTGTTCATGATGGATATGAACATGTTTTTCTTTGTGTACAAAAATTAAAAATAAAGTCAATAAAGACAATTCTGACTACAAATTTTGATATAGTAGGAGAAATGGCTAATGAATTTGATCTTTAGGTTACCATTCCTTTTTTTTTTTTTTTTGTTTTGTCTTCAGTGTTTTATATCATTGTGCTTTTAAGAGAAATATCGTTGAAAAACAGCGAGTTGGTTTTAGTTGAACACAGAACCTGAAATAAACTGTGGACCAATCACTACAACCTGCGAGACAGTATTGAGTTTTCAAGAAACCTATGGACATAGCTCAAAGTATATGTAGGTCTTGGAATAATTTTTTAAAAAAATATTTAATTTTTTTACATGCTTACAGAAAACAGCTGATACAATGAATAGCTCAGTCTGAAATGGAAAACAGTACTGTCTGAGAAATTTCACATAACTTTTACTGTCCACATTCAGGCATACGTTGAAACTTTTCAGAGCTGGTTTGCTTGTTAAAACTGTAGTTTACATTTAATTTTGAGAAGCAAAAGTGTTTTTACAAGTATGTTGTTTGTATTCAAATCAGACAGTCATACTTGAGCTTTTACATAAAGTTTGAAGGCTACACATTGTAAATATTTCATAATTACAGTGTTTCAAAAGCATGCTCAAACATAGAAGTAGCAATGTAATTATTCAAAGTAATACTTAATATACCCTACTGCTTTAAATGCAGTAGATTGACAAGAATGTGCAAGACTGACATTTCCAAAGTTGGCTATTATGTAAAGTTACATAAAGAACTATAACAAAGAGCCTTAATTTTAATTTCATAAATCTTTAATGCATCACCTTTTTGTCATTAGAAATACAAATTTTTTGCTTTACATTATTTGGTATGTAAATACCTTGGTTAACAACCTTGTAAACCTATTTCAAGGTTATTATAAGTTGTATAGTATCTTGAGTGTTTTGAAAAATCTCGATGTTTTTTAAGTCTAGAAATATTTTGCCCAAGAATTTTTTAACAAGATTGTTAAAAACATCTTATTTTAGAGAATATTCAATGTGCCATTTGGTAAATGGAGATGCAGTTGAAACAGTACACTGAGTTGTGACTTATTTTTAATTAAAGTTTTTGTCTTTATGGGTGGTTTGCATGTGATGAACTTGTACAGAGGCTGGGTTGTTTGTGTACTGAGTGTGTAAATGGATAAATCATGAAGATGTTTAAATGGTATACTTGGGTTATTTCTGAATTATTTTATGGATACCTTGATATAAACTGCCTCAATAAATTTGAAGTTGAAAATGAATGTAAGTTAGATATAAGTAATGTGTCCTCCCTGTGACAGCTAGAGGGTGCAAATGCCTCAGCTGTAATCTGGAATGCTGAGGCAGGCACGGTTGGAAGGGAAAGAGTAGGATTTGCAGTGGTAGTTCAGTGAAGCAAACTTGCATTTTAAAAGAAACAGAAAGTTTGGTTTTTAGAGATGGTAGTTCTGAGTGAGTGTCTGAGAAGCTGTATCTTTTTCTCTTTTCTGTTTCTGACCATGCAGGTGTTGCGAGGTAGAATAGTCTGTTTTGAAATGGAGATTTGCAGTTGTGTTAAACCCAGCCAGGTTGTGCAAATAACTACACTTATTGCTGTAGCAAATCACATGAGGGTTTTCTTTCCTCCTCTTTTATTGATGTGTGAAGTAGTACCTTGACTTTTAGATCAGGTTGAAAGTGAGATGTACTGGAAGAGCAGTTTAGTCAGTTGGCTCAGCTGCACCAGAGGTACTTGTGACTCTGGGCTTCTAATGCATGCAATAATGACTGAAGTTAGTGTGGAACCACGAGTGCTCATGCTGGCAGAATTGGCCCTTTATCTCCTTTTCTCCTTTATGGTATCTGTAGTGTCTTTCCACTCAAGATAGGAATCTTGTCTGCAGGACTCCTGTTTTTCTATACATTTTGTACATATGTGTATATCTACGCGAGGATCGGCCTATACATTGTAGTTTGGAAAAACCTCACAAGTAAGTCTGTGTTTTTGTTACACTCAGCCGGTTTAAAAAGTCACGAGTCAGCAGAGAGATGAATTGTGAGTTCCTGTAGGATTTCTTAGACTTCACTTGAAATCTGGGGTTTCTACATCCTTCTAGGTGTTTGCCATATGGCTGTTCTGGGTGCATGCTGGTGTGGAGGCAGTTTGTTCTTTAGGCGCTACTGAAGATTTAGATGATGCAAGTACATTGCCACATAAATGCCCATATAAATGGGTGTGAGATTAAGGCAGTGATCTTTCAGGTCTCAATATGTAGATCACTTTAAATCTGATTATTTAATATGCCTGCTGTAGAGCTGGGCCGTACCTGACCTGTATTTCAGGATGAAAGATAGGATATACCTTCTGATTTAAGTTTTTTGTCATTGATTTTTATACAGCTTTTCTGTAATGGTGATATTTCTTCGCAGACTGCTCAAGGTGTGGGGGTCTCCAGTCCTTTTAATATTTCTCTAGCACTGCGAGGAAGAGTTGTAAATTAGATTGCTTTTTACTCAGTAGCATTCATAAATGCATCACTGACAATTTTTTGGCACCAAAGAGCCTCTTGCACCATACTGCTTTTATGAGTGACACTTACACTGTTGTAATTTCTCTAACTACAGAAATCGACCACTACCTAACCCTTGCCACTAGGATTTGGATTTCAGAAACACTGATTTATTATGGCTTAAGTTGATGCGTGCAACCTAAACCAAGGTTGTAATCTGCATTTGCAGAAAATGTTCAATAAAAGTGGAACATGATAAAGGGCTTATCCTGTATTTGTCATCTGTCAAAGCATTGTCCCTCTTTGCTGTAAAACTGACAACAGGCAGACAAGGCTGAACTTGTAAACTATGCACTTGCAATCATGTAAAAGATGTTTTATTTAAAAAAAATTTCATACAAAATCGTTTTGTACTTTGTGGAGTTGCAGTAGTAAGGCTGTAAATCTAAGGTTACGTGTAGCTTCTCATCAGTCCTGCCTCCTTGTGTATATTTGCTAACAGTTTTTAGACATACTCTTCCTGCAGAACCTTCTTCTTACTAAGATAACTTCATGAGAAGCGATTCACTGTACCAGAACCATTGCCTTCATTTCACTTAAAGTCTCACAGTGAATAAGGCTTAGTTTTGCAGAAAAATAGTGATTTGTTTTTCTTGTGTTTGTACACAAGGAAGCAGACTTAAACTGTATGGACATGATTAGTGTCTGATACTTCTTAATTATCTGACTGTTTTTGAACAAGGGCACAAGTGTTTGTTTTAATCACGTGAAACTGTTTCCTGGTCAGCAATAAAAGATTTTGTTGCACTGTTCTTACATTGCAAGACACAGGCAATCTTTTGTTCAGTATACTTCCAAAAAATGGATGGGGTTTGTGAAGAACTGCCTTGTTCCAGCTTGAATTTTCATATATAGATATAATCTGGGGTCTGGATTGCAGCTGTAAGAGCAAAAGAAAGTTCTCCTGAAAGTCAGTGAGAATTCATTTGTTCTTATCACATGTGGTGCATGTCCCACATTGATAAATATAAGGGTAATGAAGTTTCTGTTCATAAAAAGGCAACTGGAAGGCAGTAGCTTCTGGGAACGTCTTTGTCGTGTTTCATTTCAGCTGACTTCTATGAATCCAGTTGATTGTTTAAAAAAAAACCTTAAAAGTTGTGCTTTACAGTATCACATGGATAAAATCCCATCCTGCTGTACTATAATTTCAAATCAAAGAAAATGCTGAAGTGTTTACTGAATGTTTTACTTGAAAAAGAAACAGGACTTCACGTTGACAAGTGAACACTGATTGTGTTGTCCTTTTGAGGCTGTGTGCTGATGTAGATCATGGATGTGTGAATGACATGCTCTGCTCACTGACATTTAAGGGATAATGACTCAGAACGTTAATTTGACATCAGTAATGATTATTTGAATACAAGTTATTCTTGCCTAAATACACAGCTCCCTGTGCTTTGATTGAAGCTCATCTGAATCTTACTGGTTATTAAAGTATTCTTGATATGCTGTGGAAAGAAACATGGCTTTGCCTTGTATCTTAGTGTTGAAGCTGTCAATAAGGCATCAGAGTTGCACAGACTGTTTTTTGTTTAGAATAAAAACACTTAATGGTGTTATCAGGGAATTCAGTGTAAACTGATTTTTCTGTACTGATGGGTGATGGTATTTCAATGTTTCCCTTTTAAAACAGTGGCTCAGTTACATTCTTGCATGAACCTGGCTCTCACAGATCCCAGATTTTCAGCAGCTGTCTTTCCCAGCTGCTGGTGTGGAAGGGAAGAGGAGGAGGAAGGGGAAAGATGATGAGAATAGGTGGTGCAGCCCAGTGTGCCTGGTGCAGCAGCAGCAGTGCCAAGGCAGACTGTCAAGCACGTTTAAGATCACAGCAGGTTTACACAGACACTGCAGCAGTGCCCCCAGGGTTGTGACCATTCAGACACAAACTAGCTTTATCTGCTTGCTTAAAGTAATGTGGCTTTAAAATTACAGAAGTAGAAACCACATAACCTCTTTGGTTCCTCAGAAAATAGATGCATATTAAACCTAGAACACTGAAGGTGGCTAAACAAATAAAGGAGCAAATTGCTTTAAGCATCTGAATTTGTAGACTTTTGTTTAATGTGGACCTCTTAGTTTGGCATTCTGCCGTGTGTCTATACTGACCTTGTCGTTTATAGAATTGAAGTAGTTTCAGGTATGCACAGCTGCTTGTTGAACATAGTCCCATGCTTGACAACTTCTGGAACAGGGATGGATAAGAACTGAATAAGAATTGTAGGTCTACCACATAAAACCCTGGATAATGCTCACATTTCCTGGATGGAAATTGACTTACCAGAGCCAACTCTGTAGAAATAAAAATATCACAGGGATGATAAAAAGCTGCTGTCCTCATTTGAGTAGCTAGTTCTTTGACCTTAATAAATGGGGAATTATTACTGGGCTGCTGTTCCATGAAAAATGTTCATGGGTTTTTTATTCCTTTCAATGGGGCAGATGTTTTTCACTCCACAAATTACTTGTTTCCTTTAATGCTGGGTTATCAAGTGTGATGGGAAAGACCAATTGATACAATTTATTGCTTATTGCAAATCTTCCAACTCAGGTACTGACTGGGGGGGAAATTACCCTCTTAGTTATTAAAAGGACTATTTAATTTTGCAATATACCTTTGTAGAGCCATTTCTACTTGAGTTTTACTTGCACCAGAAAGCACAAGGAGTCTACACAAATACACCTTGGACTCAACTGCTTCGAGCTGCTGTTCCATCCTACAGCTACTGCACCAGATCTTGTACAGTCAAAGGCTGGAAATATTTATGCCTTGCTCCTTGCTTTGGTAAATTGTGTTCTGTACAGAATAAATCTGTTCTGTATATTTGCAAATACTCAGAGAAAGCTGAGGTGCAATGTTTTCTGAACTCTTGCTATCTTGGTGTGAAATTTGGGCTTTTTCATTTACAGGTACATGCTGTGGTTTTGTAGGAGGAATTTGTGTTTGTGACGTTATCTAGAAACTGATTTCAGGCTAAGAAAAATAAAATGTGAATGTTTCTAGGATACTATTCCTAGGTGAATCTTGCCTCCTACTTGGATTTATGCATTCTATGGAACAAGGATAAGAAGGTCCAAAAACACCTCTCAAATCACTTACAATGGATATTTTCATATGGGAACAAATCTATATAAACTTGCAGTGTGCACATAACAAGATTTTGTTCCAGAAGTGTAACAGCTGTTCACATGTATTGCTGATACATTTTGAAATGGTCAGTACCTGAGGTCTAAGGACCAACAGATATTGCTCAATGTATGCTGCATTTTGAAGACTTAAAGCCAATACACAGTGTGATGCTGTGCTCATATTGACTTCTGAAAGAGTTCCTTCCAGCACCTTTTTGTTCTGTGGGTTTTTATGGAAGAACACAGAAACTGTCCTACAAGATATATGCATAGAAATTTAGCAAGGTATGTGACATTTTAATTTGAATTCATGTTCCAAGGTCACAGTGTCTAGTGCCAAGTGTCTGACAAGCTGCATGAGTTAGAAGTTGATGTTTCCTTGGAATGCTTCTACAGCAAATCCTTACTGAAAGGTATTTCTGGAGTTTCTCCTTATGTGCCTTCTGAGTAAAAGGAAGACAAGATGCAAGATACTTTTTAGAGGGATCCAGGTATGTCTTGAGTTTACTGGGGCTGTAGAAACAGGCATTCCTTTGTATTTTTTTCACTGTAAAAATGCCTATGGATACTTGAATTGTGAGTTCTGATTCAGTTGTTGTCAGGGGCATGCACCACTCATTTTGCACACCATGTTTTGCTGTGTCTCTCACTATTTATGTTTAATTATGTTTCTGGTCAACAGAGCTGTACTTACTTTTCATGCACCAGGAGACAAGTCTGTTGTATTTGGATCTGGTTCTTAGCAGAAACACACTGACCTCAGGTATCATTTTTAATATTCCCCTGTAATGCAAAAATCTTTGATTTCTGTTGTCTATATCTGTTTCAATATTTATAGATGGGTGTTGAAAGCATGCGCTAAGTATCTTTTTTTTTTTTTATCTTCAGGTTCATACCAGACTGAACATTTCACAAAAGCTGGGTTTTCTTTACTGCACTCCCCAGTCAGTCCTACATGTGGGTAGTCCAGAAGGCCTTAGAATGCTTTTAAGATTTTGATGATGATTTATTATTTCATTTCTAGTTGAATATATGAATATTTTACCAGGTCAAGGCTTTTATTGCTGTGAAATTGCTTATTGAAAACTGTATTTCTTCATCACATGACTTAATTAATGGTGCTGCTTTATTTTCTGAAAGCTGGGTTTAAGTACTATAGGTTAAAAAGTAAAAGGTGTTTGCATTTGAAATTTAAAGGCAATATAAAAGGAAAATACAATTCTTTCTGCTTTATAGAACAAAGTTGAAGAAAAAAGTAAGAGGGGTTTAGCAGTAAGGTTGTTATGAAACTTAAATATGCATTTAATACTAATCTAATGAAACGTTTTCTTCCCTGTCAGATGCAAAGAGCATAAAACTGTAAAAAAATGACAATCACACTTAAATTTGAAAAAAATTAAGCTTTGAAACACTTTGTCTTTTTTTTTTTTTCTGAGTGCAATTTATGAAGAGATATAGGTGTAAGTAATGCAAGGTAGGAGCCCTACTGGAATTACTCAGCCTGTAATTCAGTTTCTGCATGTTTGAATTCGCTGCCAGAGTTTTGCAGTCTGTATTTTGGCACGCAAAAAGCTGCTGGAGTTGGAGGTACTGAGGAATGTTCCACAAGATTAGGGATTAAAGTTGACCCCGTGAACCTCCTTATACTAGAAAGTATTACAAAGGAGTGAGTCAGAGCTTTCTGTGAGTTCAAAGTGAGGAGTGCTGGACAAATTCCCCTGATTTATTTAGGCAAGCCTGAAATAGAATATAATTTTCTACAAGAATTCTTTTCAAGGCTGTTTTATGCTGTGTACCTTTAAGGAAGGTTATGTTTAGATTTACTCTGTATGTATCTTACTAAAAGATTAAAACCTTTTGTTATCTGCTCTTTTACTCTGGTATCTTAATCTTCAGGCAGTAACTTCATTTAGCTAAGACTTACAAGCCATGGTTTGAAACTAAAAATAGTTTGTTGGTTTAAGGTTAATAAAACTCAGAAGTGATTCTTGGCTTTGAACTGTGAAAAACCACCCCAGATCTCAGCATCCAGTCCCATTGCTTCCTCTGAAAGGACCATGGTTAACCACCCTGTGCTGTGTTCTAGCAGCTGGTCACTCATTGCTTTGTGGTGAAACTGAAAATGTCTGTACTGAAGCATTTAGGTTAAAACCCCATAAATCTGAGTCCCTGCAGGTTCGTGATACTCTGCATTTCAGCATTGGCTGATGTGGAAGGAAAAGCTTTCAAGCCGTGTTTGCCAGCCCATCATGAATATCAAGATGTTAAGATGAACATTGATGAAGTTTGAAACCTGCTTTTATTGAACCTGTGATACTCAGAACAGTCTAGGATTTTTGAGCAGGAATTCTTGATTAAAACACCTCGTTTCTGGCCAGGGTTTAGTTTGCAGTGCAGTATCTAGTCTTACTTTCTGCTTTTAACCTTTTAAAGTCTAAAATATGATTTTAAAGGGCTGGGATTTTTTGCAGAGAAAAGAGTTTCCTAGTTTGAAGGCCTTCTCTCCTCATTGTTAACATTTCTAATTTTAAGTTCATATAATCACATACGTAAGTTCCACCTCTACTGAAATCAGTTGCCTTATGTTGATGTAAATGAAATCAGGTTTAAATCATGAGTTGGGGTTCTCATAGTCTGTT